ATAAAACTAGGAACAATTTAACAATTGAATAGAGGAGTTCTGAAGACCAATCAAACTCTAAAGGAAAGAGAGCACTCTAGACGAATGAAATCGTTGGAAACAAGACTCCAGAACAAAGAATGCTACTCAATAACTTCGAAAATTTCCACATAAGCTCTTCCCATGAGAGTTGGTCCTGAAGTACTGAACAATTACAGATCCATTAAACCACAAAGAGAAAAGGTACAACATCAGTCTACTCACTAATGCTACTGGAAAGAATGTTCTTCCACAAATCTTGCAAGGTAACAATTCTCCAACTTGGACAATACTTCCATTTTCTAAAACAGAAAAGAATTTAAAATAATTTCTATAGTTCAAATCATGAAACTTCAAATGTTAATGTTTTCTCTTAGTTTCATAGGTAAATTGTCAATTTTTGTGAAAAACGTAGTTTCCTTTTGAAGTGAAATTATCATTAAAATGGGCACAAAACAGAGTTATCAAAGTCAAAAAGTGGTAAAAAACGAAACAAAACAGGATAAATATAGAAGAGTCATGATTTAAGGATAACCAAGTTGGGCTGGGCATGATGGCTCACACTTGTAATCCCAGCACATTAAGAGGCAAGGCCAGAGGATCATTTTGACGCCAAAAGTTCCAGACCAGCCTTGAGAAATATGGCAACCCCCCCCCCCACCAAAAATTTTTAAAAAATTAGCCAAGCATGGTGGCACACATCTGTAGTCCCAGTTACTTGGGAGGCTGAGGCAGTAGGACCGCTTGAGCCCAGGAATTCAGGGCTACAGTGAACTATGATTGGGCCACTGTACTTCAGCCTGAGCAACAAAGTAAGACCCTGTCTCCAAAAAAAAAAAAAAAAACAATAACAAAAAACTAAGAAAACCCACAAGATAATCAAGTTGATACTGCTGGAAATACTTAGTTTTCTTGTAACTATTTTAACCAAATCAATTTGTCATATCCTCTTAACTTACAGGCTATGGCTACTGTAAATTACTAAACTTTAAAAACCAAATTTATCTTACTAATCTCCAAGGCATGAAGAAATGCCATTGTTTATGTGTTAAGTGACATCCTGATATGATCTGAGGAGTCTAGAATAAAAAGAATAGCAGTTTGTTTATCACCACACAACAGACACTATAATGCTCTATGGATAAGATCATCTAGTAATGCAAACTGCATGTATTATGTGAACTGTTCATTATTTTATACATATAAAACTCACATTAAGAGTCACTGGTCCAGTAAATTGAGATATTCTGACCTTACAAGCACAATTAATTAAATAATGAAGAGATGGCTACAATGTTCACTCAATTAAAATTAATACAACCATCATGTATGTGGATATAACAAATGTTAGTAATAAAATAATTTTTTAAAAAAAGAAATAACTTAATTCTTTGGGATTCTATAACTGAGTCAATTTGTCATTTTATTTTCTAGCTAAATACCAAACCTAAATTTATTTTCATACCTATATTCTAAAAAAATTATCTTTCCCATATTTTCTCAATTATTTTACAGATTGTTAAAATTCTTTTATCATATGAAAGACAAGTAGAAAAGCATTTTCCTTCAGAAGTAACATAAATAAACTCAAAAAAAAGTACACTATGACTCCATATAATCTGTTTCAAGGCATTTAGTAAGTTCAAAGAATAATCAGGTGAACTAAAATAGACACTGGTGAGAATACATTCAAATGCAGTAAGAGAAGAACTGTTTTTGTTCTCTCATTCTCCTAGTACTCCACTGCCCTATTTTACTGGTAGATGGTGACTACTTGTCATCTCAGATGGAGGTAATGTTCTATAGTGTCTTAAGTTAAGTAGTAGATACTACAAAAGCAAAGATTTGCCTGGTTTGTCAAGGAGCTAAATTATTTAGAGAGGGCAATATCATTTATCAGGATCATTTAACTCCACTAACCATCCAGAAAGTTAACACAGTTGCTATATGGAATCCATTAGGTTCATTAAGAATGTCTTCAGCATGATAGAGTGAGACTTCATGCTAAATAGCCTACAAAGCTTGCTTACAATTTCCACATATTTCTTTAACTACCAAGCAATGATTTAAAAATTCATGAACAAAAAATATTAAAAAGCACCATATTTTATTAATTAAAAGTATATTTTATTATCTATATGTTAAATAGATGAGAAAAATCAATTTAATACATGGAAACAATCTGAGTGTCTACTTGAGCACCTACTACTTGCCAAGCATGTACCAAGTAATAGTAACACAAGGGTGGAATAATACAATCATCATTACTGTCATAAAGCTAACAT